CATTTACATTTAAGGTTAATTTGCCAGTCTGTGTCTTTTAATTGGGGCATTTAGCCCATTTACATTTAAGGTTAATATTGTTATGAGTGAATTGGATCCTGTCATTATGTTGCTAGCTGGTTATTTTGCCCGTTAGTTGAGGCAGTTTCTTCACAGTGTCAATGGTCTTTACAATTTTGTATGTTTTTGCAGTTGCTGGTACCAGTTATTTTCAGTGCTTCCTTCAGGAGCTCTTGTAAGGCAGTCCTGGTAGTGACAAAATCTCTCAGCATTTGCTTGTCTGTAAAGGATTTTATTTCTCCTTTACTTATGAAGCTTAGTTTGGCTAGATATAAAATTCTGGGTTGAAAATTCTTTTCTTTAAGAATGTTGAATATTGGCCCCCCAGTCTCTTCTGGCCTGTAGGGTTTCTGCAGAGAGATCCACTGTTAGTCTAATGGGCTTCCTTTTGTGGGTAACCTGGCCTTTCTTTCTGGCTACCCTCAATGGTTTTTTCTTCATTTCAACCTTGGTGAATCTGACGAATCTATGTCTTGGGGTTGCTCTTCTCTCATCTTTGTGGTGTTCTCTGTATTTTCTGAATTTGAATGTTGGCCTGTCTTGCTAGGTCGGGGACATTCTCATGGATGATATCCTGAAGAGTGGTTCCATTCACCCTGTCACTTTCAGGTACCCCAATCAAATGTAGATTTGGTCTTTTCACATAGTCCCATATTTCTTGGAGGCTTTGTTCATTTCTTTTTATTCTTTTTTTCTCTAATCTTATCTTCTTGCTTTATTTCATTAAATTGATCTTCAATCCCTGATATGTTTTCTTCCACTTTATTGATTCAGCTATTGATATTTGCACATGCTTCATGAAGTTCTTGTGCTGTGTTTTTCATCTCCATCAGGCATTTATGGTCTTCTCTAAACTGGTTATCCTTGTTAGCAATACCTCTGACCTTTTTTCAAGGTTCTTAGCTTCTTGGCATTGGGTTAGAACATGTTCCTTTAGCTTGGAGGAGTTTGTTATTACCCACCTCTGAAATTTGTCAAATTTGAGTTTGTCAATTCATCAGACTTATTCTCCATTCAGTTTTAGTTTTGTTTCTTTGCTGGTGATGAGTTGTGATCCTTTGGAGGAGAACAGGTATTCTGGTTTTTGGAATTTTCAGCCTTTTTGCACTGACTTCTCCCCATCTTTATGGATTTATCTACCTTTGGTTTTTGATGTTGATGACCTTCGAATGGGGTCTCTGAGTAAACGTCTTTTTTGTAGATGTTGCTTCTATTCCTTTCTGTTTGTTAGTTTTCCTTTTAACAGTCAGGCGCCTCTGCTGCAGATCTGCTGGAGCTTGCTGGAGGTCCACTCCAGACCCTGTTTGCCTGGTTATCACCAGTGGAGGCCATAGAACTGCAAAGATTGCTGCCTGTTCCTTCCTCTGGAAGCTTCGTCCCAGAGGCCACCCGCCACATGCCAGCCAGAGCTCTCTTGATGAGGTGTCTATCAGCTTCTACTGGGAGGTGTCTCTCAATCAGGAGACACGGGTGTCAGGGACCCACTTGAGGTGACAGTCTGACCCTTAGCAGAGCTTGAATGCTGTGCTGGTAGATCCACTCCTCTCTTCAGAGTTGTCCAGCAGGGATGTTTAAGTCTGCTGAAGCTACTCTCACAGCTGTCCCTTCCCCCAGGTGCTGTCCCAGGGAGATGGGTGTTTTGTCTATATGCCCCTGACTGTGGTTGCTGCCTCTTTTTTCAGAGATGCTCTGCCCAAAGAGGAGGAATCTTGAGATACAGTCTGGTCTTGCTGAGCTGCGGTGCGCTCCACCCAGTTCAATCTTCCAGGCAGCTTTGTAAACACTGTGAGGGTAAAACTGCCTACTGAAGCCTCGGCAATGACGGATGCCCTTCCCCGACTAAGCTCGAGTTTCCCAGGAGTAACTTAGACTGCTGTGCTTGCAGCCAGAATTTCAAACCAGTGGGTCATAGCTTGCTGGGCTCCATGGGTGTGGGATCCGCTGAGCCTGACCTCTTGGCTCCCTGGCTTCAGCCTTCTTTCCAGGGGAGTGAACAGTTCTGCCTCACTGGCCTTCTGGGCGCTACTGGGGTATGGGAAAAAAAAAATCTCCTACAGGTACTTTGGTGTCTGCCCAAATGGCCACCCAGTTTTGTGCTTGAAACCCAGGGCCCTGGTGTCATAGGCAACAGAGGGAATCTCCTGGTCTGCAGGTTACGAAGACCATGGGAAAAGCATAGTATCTGGGTTGGAGAGCACTGTGCTTCATGATACAGTCCCTAAACCCTTCCCTTGGCTAGGAGAGGGAGTTCCCCGACCCCTTGCACTTCCCAGGTGAGGCGACATGCCACCCTGCTTTGGCTCGTACTCAGTGAGCTGCACCCACTGGTCAACCAGTCCGAATGAGATGAACTAGGTACCTCAGTTGGAAATGCAGAAATCATGCACCTTCTGGTCGCTGGGAGCTGCAGACCAGAGCTGTTCCTATTCGGCCATCTTGCCAGCCTCCTCTATTTTGATTTTTATTACAGAAAGTGTGGTATAATAATATCCTGCTATAATTATATTGCTCTCCTCGTGTTTCTTCTATTCTGTCAGTATTTGCTTTATGTATTTGTAATCCTAATGTATGACACACACACACACACACACACACACACACACACACACTCAAAGTTTTCACAGGTTCCCAGTGAACCTACTATTGTTAATATTTTTCTTTGTCTTTTTGGAGTTTCACTGTCAAGTGCATTTTATGAAATATGAGTCTTTGACTTAAAATTTAGCTCATGTAATATTATTTTGACCTCTTCTGCTCTCACTTGATTAACATTTGCATGAAATGTCTACTTCCACCTTCCACTTTGAGTCTTTTTAACATTAGATTTCAACTGACTCTTGTCGAAAGGCAAGTTGGATCTTGGTGTTTAAAAGTTTTTAATAGCCTGGGCATGGTGGCTTATGCCTGTAATCCTAGCACTTTGGGAGGCCAAGGCGGGTGGATCACCTGAGGCCAGGGGTTCCAGACCAGCCTGGTCAACACTGTGGAACCCCGTCTCTACTAAAAATACAAAAATTAGCTGGGCGTGTTGGTGGACTTTTGTTATCCCAGCTACTCAGGAGTCTGAGGCAGGAGAATTGCTTCAACCTCGGAGGCAGAGGTTATAGTGAGCTGAGATAGTGTCATTGCACTCCAGCCTGGGTGACAAGAGTAAAACTTTGTCTCAAAAGAAAAAATATTAATAAATCTATTAAAAATCGGTTGATTTGAAAGTTAATTTTCCATATATTTAAATAATTTTCTGAAAGTGAAGGAGTTACTTTTATTTTATTACCTATTCTATTTGATTCTTGCATCTTGCCCCTCATTTTCTCTCTTTCTGTCTTCCTTTGTTTCTTTCTGATTTTTGCATTGATATACTTTCACTTCCTTATTTTTCTTTTGTATATGTATACAGATTTTTTTTTGTGTATGATACCGTTGGGATTACATAAAACCTCTAAAACTAAAACAGTATATTTTAATCAGGTGAAAAATTAGCTTCAGTTGCATAAAAAATTCTTCCTTATTATGTCTGACCTTAAATTTGTCACTGATGTTGCTAAGTTTATCTGTTTATGTTATATATACATTTACAGATGTTTATAATAATTCCTAAGCTTTTATCTCTCAAATGTTAGAGAATAATTAAAAATGTTTTCTGTGCCATTAGAATAATGCTAGAAATTCAGTTTTTCGTATGTGCATATCTTTCCTAGAAAATAATGTATTTTTATATGATTAGGTGTTGTTTTCTTACATTGTTATTTTCACTGGTAAGAACTGCTTTCAGCATCTTCCGTATGGAAGACATATGCAGTGCCAAGATACTTCTTGAGAATTTAGTTATTTTGAAAGTTTTTTTCGTTGTTGTTTGTTTTTTCCTATTAGGCAGTACCGATTTGCTGATGGCATTATTCTCACTTGATAGCTATTTTTTTTCTTTTTCTTTTTTGGACTTTGACTATATCACACAGTTCTCTTCCGGCCTGCAAATCTTTTGTTGACAATTCACTGGTTATTTTTGTTCTTATCCTCATTTTTCTGATTTTCTATACTCTTCTGTGTTCCTATTTCACTCATTGAATGTTATTCAGTTTTTAAAATTAGTATATACATTTTTAATGGTTTCTTTCTGAAAATTTTATCATATTTTTGATGAGATTATATTACCCTATTTTGTATAGATTGTAATCTCTGAGATTTGGACATTTAAAAAGGTTACCTGTCACAAAATTTATTAATGTAGCTTTGTCCTGGCATAGTCAGAAAACAATCATCTTGGCTAGAGATTATGTGGGTCTCTCAAACATCTCCTTGAGATTTGTCTTGTCTGAAATTTTGTGTTTGGTTTTAGTTAAAAGAGATTATTTTTGTTTCTTCTGAAAAGTAATCACTTGGTACACCGTTCTCTCTCTGCAGCACTGCAGTGCTCTGCTGCAGTGTATTTACCTTTGGTCTCAGCAGACTCAAACTGTCATTTCAAAGTATACCACCGTATCTATCAGCCCTTTTTGTCGTGAGAGACAGAAACCAGTGTGTGGAAAGGGTTGTAGAAGACAAAAATTAAATCATATGTGCCAATATTTTACTTTCCTTAAAAAAAAAAAAAAGAAAATACAGAAGTTGACAATTTACTTCTGAAGGGACTAGGTAATATTGAGGAGTAGAAAGAGTTGTATTGGGTAAATTTAACAAACTTTTCTTTTTTTCTATGTGGCTCTTTGCATTGGTCTTAATTCAGGCACTGCATACACTTAACTCATGTATAAATTATCCACATATGTATTTTAGTCTGTGTGTTTTTATTACATTTCTATGTCTATGAAGACTTAGGGCCTGTGTCATATTGCAATGTCATCTTGCTTATGTAGTTTGAATACTTTTGTAGGTTAAATTTGGAAACTATATTTACCTGAGTCTAATAAGTGGACTAATTTGTTATTTTTATTTCTTTTCAGTTATATGTTCTCATTTTGCTCAAGACCTTTGGCCAGAGCAGGGCGTAGAAGATTCTTTCCAAAAAGTGACATTGAGAAGATATGAAAAATGTGGACCTGAGAATTTACAGTTAAAAATTGGTTGTACCAATGTGGATGAGTGTAAGGTGCACAAAGAAGGTTATAATCAGCTTAACCATAGTTTGACAACTACACAGAGCAAAGTATTTCAATGTGGCAAATATGCAAATGTCTTTCATAAATGTTCAAATTCAAACAGACGTAAGGTAAGGCATACTGGAAAGAAACTTTTGAAATGTAAAGAATATGTCAGATCATTTTGCATGCGTTCACACCTATCTCACCATAAAAGAATTTACAGTAGAGAGAATTCCTACAAATGTGAAGAAGATGGCAAAGCCTTTAACTGGTCCTCAACCCTTACTTATCATAAGAGAATTCATAC